AGCTATAAGGGGAAGGCCTACACTCATGGCTATAAATCCCCCTTCGACAAGGGAGAGGGAAATGATCCTTCTACTCTCCTGTCTGATCTCCAGCATGCCGAACACCGTGAGTTCGCTCCGTTGTATGCTGATGTTGGCTTCAGAATCCCTGAGGACTCAGATCCCAGGAGCAAGAAGCCCAAGCAGGACGACCCGGACTACGCCACCCAGCTCAGGCTGCACAATGCTTTCTGTTCGGAAAGGGATGTGGTGGAATGAGATTAAGGCAGTTCGGAAGGACTTCTCCACGGTGGTCTCTGCAGTTTCCCAGGCCTTTGGGCAAGATTTCTTCAGCTACGTCCAGAAACATTGGCAAAACACCGAAGTCCGACGCAAATACAAGATCAACACTCCTGAGGGATATACNNTTATACCTTGTATGATTCCTCACTCAAGGAGCCTTGGAATGCGTCACTGGTCCTTGCCGCGCTGGATAAGCAGTTCAGAGTGATGGGCGTGCCCTCCTTTACTTCTGCTTTTGGGAAGAAAGCTCACGCGGATCTTGTTTCGTATGAGAATCTTCGTGCCCAGCGTGCTCGTGAGATTGACGAGCTCTACACACGACCTTTCGATGACATCGTCGTGGAAGAGTTTATCTCCAATCTCCCTGGACCTACCATCGAGGAACTGGACGAGCCCATGGAACAAGCTGGCGGCTCTGCCGAGGCTGCACCAGCGGACTCTCCCTCTGGAGAGATGGCTGGTGCTAGTGAAGCAAAACAAGAGCCTGATTTCAGTGCGCCAATGGATACCGATGCGCCCGAAGGCTCTCCCTCTGGAGAGGTATCTGGTGCAAAGGCTGAGGAGCCAGAACGTACTTGGTTCCCGCCTACGGCACATCCTGATGATCCGCGCCTGGAGGAAACCAGCGAGACAGGCGACCATGCGATGGGAAGCTCTCCGTCTGGAGAGGCACCCATGCCTGATATGAACTTCTCCGCAGAAGCCTCCAACAACAGGGACAACCTGTACGAGCAGGGCATCTGGGGGAAGACAAAGACACGGGTGGAGCTTGGGGCTTACGAGGCAGAGTCCAAGGCCACAGCCGCGGCGGAGGAAAAGCATGAGGAAGCTTTCGAGAAGTACGCGGGTGAGAAGGAGAAAGAAGGCCTTGCCGACACTTCTGACTTCATGAATTTCCATGAAGCTTATCACCTGACGGAAAGACTCAGCCCGCTCATGAAACTTTCCGACCAAATCCACGGCTACGGCAAGGTTGGGCTCTACCACGACGACATCCGCCTCGACAAAATCGGTGCCTTTAAGGTGCAGCACATGTATTTCCGTCAGAAGGCTCCTCATCATGCTCATATGAAGTTCAACTTCTCCGAGGAGGATCTGATGGAGAGAGTGTCTGTCAAATGGAGCCGATTTATGATCGTCGAAGCAC